ATGCCCGGGAGGCAAGGAGAAGGCATCAGATCCCCTGGACTTGGAGTTAAAGGTAGTTCTTAGTTGCACAACATGAGTGCTTGGAATTGAACCTTGGTCCTCTGCAAGAATAGCAAGTACTGTCTCCAGCCCCACAGAGACCCTTCTGGGAAAGAGGTTGACATGCCCATCCTGAAAGCTCTTCACTAATTGGCAGGTAAATACCAGTACAACAACAGAGCCCTTGGGGCTGGAGAGATGGCTCAGAGGTTAAGAGCACTGGCTGCTCTTCCAGAGGTCCTGAGTTCAATTCCTAGCAACCATATGGTGGCTCACAACCATCTGTAATGAGATCTGGTGCCCTCCTCTGGTCTGCAGGGATATATGCAGGCAGAACACTGTACACATAATAAATACAATCTTAAAAATAGAAAAAGGAAAAAAAAAAAAGAACAGAGCCCTCACCATCTTCAGTCTGTCAGAGAACACACAGGCAGCTTAATAAGTGGAAGCAGAGGCTGAAGAAATAAATCCCCCTTGATAATTTGCCATGAGTAAGCAGTGTGTGTAGGTGTGTATGTGTGTATGTGTGTGGATTTGTGTGTGAACTTGTGTGTGCAGGCAATCTCTAAGGCTTAGCAGAAATTCCCTAAGACAGGGAGGAAATATATCCCCAAACACCATTAGACTTGGCATTCACAGACAAAGTAAATGTTCTGTCAGCCAGCAGTCACAAAAGGCAAGTTACAAACTAGGAAAGCATTTACACTCCCTTCCTGAAGACCTGGATAGTCAGTGCTAAGTTGATGTATTAGTTACTCTTCTCACAGCTATGACCAAAACCTGACAAGACGATGTAAGAGCCAGAGAGTTAGACAGGAGGGTCCCTAGGGCCTGCTGGCCAGCCAGTCTAGCCTAATCATTGAGTTTCAGGTTTAAAGAAACCGTATCTCAAAAGATAAGGTAGAAAATAAATAGAAGAAAAAGCCTGATGGTGACCTCTGGCCTCACCTACACATGAACACACTCACATGCACAAACCTGCACACCTAGAGAAGCGTGTTCAGTAGTAGAACACTTATCTAGCATGCTCTAAGACCTTAGTTTGATACATTGCATCATAAAAATAAATTTTTAATTAAAAAGCATTTTAAAGAAGGCCTAAATAGACCCAGACATGGTAGTGCATGCCTGTAATACTAGCAATTGGGAAACTCAGGATTTTGAGTTTGAAGCCAGCCTGGGTTATATAGGAAGATCTTATAAACAACAAACAGGAGCTGATGAGATGGCTCAGTGGTTAATAACAAATTGTGCTTTGTAGAGTTTGGTTCCCAGCACCCATGTGTGCCAGCTCACAACTCCAACTCAAAACAATCTGTCACCCTCTTCTGGCATCCAAGGAAAATTCCATTCACATGTGCACATACCCCACAGACAAATAAATACAAATAAAATGAAATACATCCAGGTAGAAATGACCATCCACATACCTCCTCCCTCCCTAAAGGAGCCAGAGGAGTTGGGCAATGCATTTCCTTTTCTTGTGGAAGTTGACTAACACTCATGGAACAGTAGCAGAGCTTCTGTTGTGAAATAACTGGACTTCAGGCTCATCTATCCCACCTGTGAACATAATGTCCCTGTCATCTACTTGATTGCTAAATGCTACATAGATTTAGGCTTCCCATTGCCATCCCTAACCCCGAGTCTCGGGTGAAATCTCATTGGCTACTTTCTAAGAACTGATTTGAAAACAGGACTAACAGTGTTTTCAATGCTCCTGCAAGCTCCGAGAGTGTGTTCAGCATGGTTCTCCAGCTGCCAGCCAGGCTGAGCCCTCCACTCCCCTATCAAAGTTCTCCTTTTCCTTCTGACAGAGGGGTCCCCTCTCCCCCAACCACGCACACTGCCATCTTTCTAAACTGCTTCATAAATACCATGGGTAGAGGTTGAATCATGCTTCCAGACCCACGAAACTCCCAGAAGAAAAGATGGGTGTTCCATGGTCATTGTTAGCTTAATTAATGGACTCTATGTTGTAATTTATTATCAAGCAGCAATTAAACAGAGATAAAATAGGCACCCTTGAGGATAATTTCCTGTCTTGCAGCATGTGTTTATCAACAAGATGGAAGTAAGCTGGAAGTAGTTCCTGGCCACTCTGAGTGCCTGCTTGCTCTGAGGTGTCTGCTGCAAGCTCATTAAGACTCTCATTTTTGTCTGATTAATAATGAATTAAACAAAGATCCACTTTTTTCTGGAGCCTAAGTTTTTTTAAGATTTTTAAAAATTTTATGTGCATGTATGTGTATACATGTATGTTTGTGAGTATGCATGCAAGCGCTCTCAGGACCCAGAAGA